GCAGAGATTAAGTTTTCCATCTTCTAACACTGAGTTCACTTTAAGAAGCCCTTACTGAAAAGCTGAACTAGGTGTAAAAAGGCAGCAGTTTGCACAGCGCATTTTGATGCTGTGTGAAAGGAGTTTATTAGTCTTAAGGAAAGATAGAAGACAACTGTGTTTTTTGGCATGCTGGGTGAAATATTGTCTTTTTGAACATATGGGTCAGTAGCATGATCTGTTTAGACTAATGTTACCTATTGGCCATATTAAAAAGTTAATGTGAATGATCAAACAACAAAATCTGATTTGGGCTTTTACCTGCAGTCAGAATGTAGCCTAAGTGAAAGAGTAAGTGACATGAGTGAATGTGTGATACATGCATGTGCGTGTGCAAGGCATTTGACTGAACTAAATGTGTGTGTGGTGTGTGTGTGTGTGCGCCTCTCACCAGTTTCCTACAAAACGTGGGTCATTCTGGTCGATGTTCACAGCAGTGTTTGGGTCCACGTAGAACCCGATCAGAACTCCACCCAGCAAGTAACCAGCAGACGGACCAAGAGCTCCCATTACATACATGATCGCTAGAGACACATACATAACACACACACAGATACACACAAAACACATGCACACCCATGTCAAAGACTTCTATAGTTTGTTCTGTAGTGTGAAGCCAATCCAATGGCCTTCTTTTGCCATGTCAGAGCAACTGTCTGTGCTTATCAAGAACAGCTGTGGTTGGCACATTCTAATAATATTACACAATACGACACACAGAAAAGGCATTGCAAATTGAAATCAATTCTAAATGAAGAATCACAGCTGAAATGCTGCTAAAATAAAGCTGTGACCTTTGAGTGGTTACCCTGTTGATGGTGACTTCTCTTTGAAAGTTATAAACTGATAATCCCACATATCTTAAACTGTGTCCTGAAAACAGGTATTTAGCTTACTAGTCATTTAGGCAAAAGATAACACGCAGTGTACAGGCCATGTTGCAAAAATAGGCCAGATAGGGCAATTAAAAAAACATACACAGTATAAGCAAACACATCATACCTCCCTTGAAAACAATATTCAACTAGTTTTGCCATTAGATAATGCTGGCCAAATGTTTTCTAGCAAAGTTGCTGACTACTGTAGCTAAAGCAGTCATTAAAGATTTTCCTTCTCAGTGTAACTTACCCAAGTAAAGTGAGGCATTTTCCTTCTTTACGTTGTCATCAAGGTATGTTGGTCCGAGCGTGTAGATGGGTGTGGAGCCCATGCCAACCAGAATCTGAGCGCAGATAAAGAGCGCCACATACAGAGAATGCTCACTGTCCTCCTGGTCCCGTGGACATGCCTCAGGGCCATCTTTCCTGCTGTTGTTGGGGCTGGTGCAGAGCCCCCCGCCCCGTCCCGTAGTGTTCAGCTGCTCAAGTTGATAGGGCGGAGAGATGAAGTGAGGGAGAGAGAAGAGAGCAGCACCCACCGCGATGAACACACCCCCTATGGCAAGCCAACGTGGTCTTTGGCCTTGCCCACCAAAGTAGCTAATGAAGACAACGACGAGGAGACTTCCAATGTCAAAACAGCTGACGAGGAGACCAGACTCTGAACTGCGCAGACTGTAGCGCTTTTCTACAATAATAATAAAAAAATAAAACACACACACACACACACACACACACTTTCAGTAATAAGCAGAAATCCCCCGAGAAAAACAAACTGCTATGTTCTGTATCACATTTCTATTCATTTTTTTTTATCAGAGAAATAGATTGAGAATATTTTCCAGAGCTTTGTAAATTGTAAAAAAATGTCTGTTATACATTTCATATAATTACTATAATAATAAACAAATCAGAAGAACATTCAGTGGTGAATGTTTCAGGCCTCTGTGAGTACAGCAAAACTGTATCACTAGGACCACAGAATACCAGAGGAGAGGGAGATTAGAAGGGTAGCAGAAGAACATAACCAAGTAACCAAAAGGAAAAAAAAGAAATGGGACGAGAAAGAGAACTATTAAGAAATGGTGGAAGCAAGTAAAAAAGTGGGGATGAGTGGAAAGGAGGGGGGGAGAACAGGAGGAGAAGGAAATAGAAAGAGTTGAAGAGACAGGTGTGGAAGTAAGCAAAGAAGAAGATAATTAAGCTGACAGACAGAGGAACAGAAATAACAAGAGAAGAAAAACAGAGCCACTAAGGGTTGGGGTTGGAGTAAAGAAGAAAGCAGTGTATCGCCCATACCGCTTACCTATGGTCGTGATGACGCTGCTGAGGTATCCGGACACCATGAGCGACTGGATGAACGTGAGGTAACACATATAGAACAAGAAGCAGCGCGAGTCCGCGAACACCCCTCTGACGTAGCGACGAACTGACACGCGCCGCAGCTGTGACCAAAGGACAGAGGCAGCGCGGCGTCTGCCAGCGGGCCCACCGCCTGTCTCCGAGCTGCGGGAAGAGCCCAGTCCGGCCAGGCTGTTGGTGGACGTGGAGCGCTCCGGCCTGGAGGGGGAGCCGCCCCGGGGCGCTGAGAGGAGCCTCTGTCCTCCCTGGGGGGGATTATCGGTGCCATCTGTTTCCGGAGGCTGGCTCGCATTGAGCGCAGGGAGGCTCTTGGATTTGAGGGCCTGTGCCGAGTCCTCATTCACGTAAGGGAAAGGCTGAACCGGCATGGTCGGGTCACCGCCTGCGGCATCCTCACGATCCCAGGAGGCCATACTTGCAGGCGGGTCGGTGGTCACGTTAAAATAACAAAATAGACTGGCTACAACTAAAGAACGCGCACAGGCTCGTCGACAATATAAATCCGAGTCCGAGACGACAACAATACATAAGGTGACTGTGATGGGTCACCCTTACTGTTGGCCCCGGACAGCTCCACTGCCCTAACTCAACATTTCGGAGCCTCTGTATTCCTGTCCCTAAGCTGAAACTCAGTCGTGGATGGATGGAGTCACTGGCGTGTATGGCATGAGAATAAAAGAGCTTTGGTAGAGAGGTTCATCATGTCCTCAACCATAACCACCCGTTATTGTCCCCACAGACTGGCTAACTCCACCAGCTTTCTCACGTTTGGGTTTAAATCATGCTATCATGTACTTTGATATTATTCTGATAATACTAAGGTAAACTTTCCGAATTGGCTAACTACATTTACAGCCTTGGAAGCTCAGCTTATCCCATGACACAAAGCAAACCACTCGTTCAGTACAGCCTGTACTATTTTTCAAGGCTAACCACCATACACTGAACTAAACAGCATACATACACACACACACCCGTAGCTAACAGCAGCTACCTCTCAGCGCTGAACGAGCACATTGTAAAATCCTACACGAAAAGCAGCAGTGCTGCAGCGCTGCCATTAGCGCAGTTAGCATGCTTTAGTGGAAGAAAAGCGGCACAAACGTCCCGACAAAGCCGAAATATCTTTCTAATAAACTGTCACCTCGCATCCTACCGAGAACGGGGCTTTCTCCTCTCAGTGCAAGCTGATCCATTTTAGCATCCCATAAATCATATTTTATATCCACACCAAAAGAGGAAATGTTTCCCTCCAGTAAAGTGTCCTTGCTAAACCAGGGTCGCATCGGCAGTTGTTTACTGTCCACCGGCTGCGGGACTCGGCGCTTCACTGCGGCGGCGTGGACTCAGTCACGACGTCACGTAGACGGAGGGAGGCTTAAATTAAAGCGGTTTAATTCACTAACAGTCGAGGGACGCTCGGCGTATGAGTGGATTTTGCGGATTTAGCGCAGATTCAGTATTTACATGTCACACAGCTCCCATTTAAAAAAATGATTGCAACACTGATGAAGAATAATGAAACTTAAACGGGCAGCACGAGGGGCAAGTAAATAATCATTATCTTCCGGGTCGTGGTGTTGAAAATGGCGTGTGTGATCACGGGAGAAGAGAACCGAGTCGGACTGTTGGGCTCAGCTTTCCCGAACGAGTCCAAATCAACTTTTAGGTGGCAGCAAGAACAGCTCAGTGAAAGCCCTTTATGGTTTTTAATACTTCGGTAAATATTCTGTTTTAAAGTTACCGTTAATAAGGCAATCCACAGTGCTCAACATAACTTCTCATTTCCTCATAAAAATATGACAAAGTTTTCGCAGCTCGAGGTCGTGATTGTATCAAGTCTTAAGGTCCTCCAGATTATAACTGCTTTTTTCTCTGAATGTAGAGTTTTCCGCCCGAAGAGATTAGAACAGTCACAAACACGCACTGTTCAATAAACACCTGCATACTCGATGCAGAAACTAACGGATATGAAACAGGCAGGCTCAATTAATGTTTAAAACAAACCCCATCTACGAAAAATTTTGGACATTTTCTAAAATGCAATAAAAAGGAATCTGTGCTTTGTTAATTTTCTTGAACCTTTATTTAGCTGACGAAAGCACAAGGAAAAGATTTCCAATGTTTTCGCAGACCAACTTAATCGTATTATGTAATATAAACAAATTTAGAATTTGATGCCTGCAACACACTCAACAAAAGTTGGGACAGAGGAATAACAAATCAGAGATTCATGTTTTCATTGCAATTTACAAAAGGTACCAAGTTTTCCGGAAATGTGGTTTGTATTTATTCCTCAAATATGGTCATTTCAGTGCCTCCTTATCAGCGAGTAAATGCCTGCACTAAGCCAGCCCTCTGGGGGGTTCAGTCTGTGCTCTGTAGATAAGGGGCTGACAATTTCATGAAACAGCTTACAACCATAATTACAGAATTCTGCCTGGACAACAGTGGTCACAGTCTAGCCATTTGAAGCAGTTTTTCTCTCTTCAAAAGAATGCCATATAAAATGTTGGCATGCAATGTAGCAAGTCCAATGGCCATCATCAGTCAATGATGTACAGTGTAGTGGCATTTTGATGCAACCTGTATTCTGTATTAATAATGTACAGTATATTTACACCTAATAGCCACAATAAGATTTTCCATGAATCGGGAGAATAATAACACTAGGCCAGACCACTGCAGACTGAGGAATTTATGAACAATGCATGCACCAGATAACACGGTAATGTGATGAATTTATTGAAAAGGCAAGTAAGCAGACTAAGTGCAAAAATTCAGATACAGTGTGAACCAAAGACACTGAGCACTAACACGTGGACTGTATTACTGCATCAAGCAGTATCCTCAGAGCCACAATATCTGTTAAATCGTATCATATCTGTTAAATCATCAGTGGCAGGCAGTCACAGGTTGCTTTTCCACTTCTTCCCCTCTGAATCTCCAACTGGAAACACACACACACACACACACACACACACATTCTGCATCAATTAGCAAAACTACCCACATGAAAATAAGATGGTACTTTAAAGGAATGCTTTGGTGAAACATCAGATTTATATAGTATTTCACTTACTCCAGATGCAGTCAATCATCCAAGATCTGTTTGGTGTCCAAGTTTTGCTTCCTTAGTTTTATACTGTAGCTACAAAGCCAATATTGCTAACAAACAATAGAAGACAATATTCTCCCAAATCTTTTCGGTAAATACATGCCCAAAACATCTCTCAACCTGTACAAACCACACCCAAATTACCCACAGTGTCCGGCTGCAAGGTGAAGTTTTGTTTATTTTATAGTTCAAAGTAAGCCCTAAACCACATTGACAAGTCTGCACAACCTTAATGAAGACCTGGATGCAGTTTGAGAGTGTTGATAGAAGTTTTGAGCATATATTTACATAAAAGATTTGAGTGACTATTGACTTTTATTGTTTGTTAGCAATGTTAGCCTTATAGTCCTGCGCTAAACTAAAGAAGCATAATTTGAACACCAAACATGTCTTGGCTACATCTGGAGTAAGTGCAAAACTCTGTGAATTTGATTTTTTTGCAAAACCATTCCTTTAAACTACAGTAGTTCACTATTTTTATCACATAACCTACCCAGAAAGATCTTTCCCTCTTTCTGTAGCTTTTTTAAATGATGAAGCAAGTTGATTTCTGCAGCACGATGTAAGTGCTCAGGTGTGTCCTAACAATAAAACAAAGTTAATACATCAACGCAGCAAAATCAAAACACCAACATCACAAGCACATCACCAAAAGGCAGTATGTGTGTGCAGCTGTTGTGCCTGTGTGTCACCTTATAAACCAGTTTAACCAAGGCAGAGGAACTGAAGGCATCTGCAGCATTATCTCTGAGCACGTCCAAAATCTGCTGCTCGCGAGCACCACGGTGAGTGATGTATTCCCGGATCTTACTGCATGCGCTCAACACAACAGGACCATGACCTGATACGCAACACATACACACAAATCACACTGTAACGTAAAACTAACAGGACAAACTGCAGAAGTGGATTCAAAAGCAGCCAGTGAGTGTGAAAATAATGACATTAAAATCTAAACAAAAGATTTATATGAACATTTTGCTTTTCTGTCAAACTTACAATGAGTTGCTGCCGCAACACCCACTGCCAAACCTCTACCATGCAACCATACACACCTATACTTTTTATTATGTATTAACAATTGCTGTTATTTTGTTCAATTTTAACTTAAACAGTATAGACTGAAAAAAACCAAAAGTTATGTCAAGGTGTTTTATGTGATATTTCAAGTTTTGTTGGGCACACCAAAAAGTTATTAAATGACAAATAATATACTGTAATTATTTACTTGATTACCACTTTTTAAAAACAAAGATGTTAATTTTAGAATAAATTATAACAACAATAACTACAGCTCTGTTCATCATTGTACACATCTAAAAAATATTTTATAGAACTTCCTACTAATTAGTTGAAATCTGTGAAGTTGTAATGTAGCAGTATCATAATCATTCATACAATTATCTGCAACATTTTTATTTTATTTTGTTGAAAACAGTGATGACAAACTTTTGAATTGTGATTCCAAACGCTTACATGCTAACGGATATGCACACACATATACACAAACACACACCTGGGTAGATGAGGTCAGCATTGACATCAAGTAGTGTGTGCAGTGAGAGCATGTAGTCATGTAGGTCCTCAAACACAGCCGTTCCCTCCCCCAGTATGCAGTCTCCGGAAAACACTGCCTTCTCCTCCTCCAGATACAGAGCCATGTGGTCATCAGTGTGGCCTGGGGTGAACAACACCCTAGGCAACACACATTTTAGAAACATACACCGATCAGGCATAAGACTATGACCACCTCCTTGTTTCAACACTTACTGTCCATTTTATCAGCTCTACTTACTGCTGTGTCTGATCCACTCAGACCAGCACAACATACACTAACACACCACCACCCCATCAGTGTTACTGCAGTGCTGAGAATGATCCAGCACCCAAATAGTACCTGACCACTGAAGAACAGGGTAAAAGGGGGCTAACAAAGTATGCAGAGAAACAGATCGACTACAGTCTGTAATTGTAGAACTACAAAGTGCACCTATATAGTAAGTGGAGCTGATGAAATGGACAATGAGCATAGAAACAAGGAGATGGTCATAATGTTATGCCTGATCAGTGTACATGTATGGACACACAAACTTTACACATGTATGCTGACACAGAACACACTGACTACATGCACATTGTACATTCTAAACTCACACTCTCTCTAGCGCCAGGAGTGGTAGGCTTACCGTAGAGTAGCCCCCTCAGTCTTTATCACATCTCCATCCTTCAGGTATGTGTATTTCCTCTTCTCCTCTCCAATCCCCTCTGGCTGAGGAGGAGAGCGAGGGAGTTTACTCACCTCCAAGTCTAAACACAAATATACACAGAATAAGCACTTACTTACTACTGCACAATGACTCATTGAGTCACTATTTACACAGTGGTCAACATGTTTAACCAATACTCAGTCACTAAGAGACTGAATTATTATTTAATTAATCACTACCTTTTACTAAATCTCGCTGCTCAAGTTTATTAAGGTGTCCCACAATGTATATCATCTGTTTATCATCTATATGCTCCTTACTGGATCTACAATTTGCAAACATGGTCTAAATAATTAAATAATAATTATAATTAAATCTATCTCAGTACTTGTTCAACTACTCATTTCACACTGTTCAAAAGTAATTAATCAGTTAAGCACAGGAATAAATACCACTGTATGCAGAAGCAGCAGAGGTGCAAGGAATTCTGACTGAAGTATATGATGACGCAGACAATGTACATTTCAAACTTTTCTGAAACCATCCAATCAAAATCTCTGGCTTTTCCCACACTTGCAGACTTATTTTAATATTTGTATAATCTCCAAATTTACTACAATCTACTTCCTTGCAGGCAATTTAAACCTTCACTATAATTGTTAAAATCATTTGTTACCCAAGTTTGCATCTCTGGTACTTTGTGTCTTTGCAAAAAAACTAAATACACAAACACACATCTGATCTGTTTGTGTGTGAGTGAGAGAGAGAGAAGCTCTGACCTTTGTGTATGTGTGTGAAGATGTCTGATACTCCCCCGGCATGATCATAGTGCCAGTGTGTAACAAGGATTTGCTGGATGGAGGTGTCATTCTGGTGCAAAGCTTCCTTTAGATTACTGATGTACTCAGGAACAGAAGGCTCCCCTGTATCAATCAACACACGTCTCACACACATCCACACAGCATTTAGACAGACAGACAGACAGACACACACACATTTGCACAACTTATTTTAATCTTCTGAGGTGACAGAAATCATAAAAAAGAATCCATAACGAGGTTGATGAAAGGGTAATTAGCAGAATAATTTAGTTAATAAGAAGGTAACAAGGGAAAAGAAGATTCAGATGGAAGGGGCCGTTCAACTTGTACAAGTTGAATTGGTGTAATACTCCGGGTAGGAGGGACAAGATACCCCGCTGCAAGATTTTATTTTGCTAGGTTATGTGTTATAAAATCAAACTGGCTGCTGTTCCTGTTTATTTGAATAAGTGAATAAGTTATGCATTTGCCTATTGTTATTAAATGGGCCATGTTCCTATCATCATATACCTTCTCCCCGTGCCCACCAGGTACGTGTTGGTCCCTTGCAGCGTCATAGGTCCGGGATTACAGCCCAGAACACGGACCACTCTGGAGGAAAGCTGCTCGATGCGAGGAATCACGGCGGACATTTTTCTCCGGTTATCGGGTGCATGCAGACCACGCTCTCAGAAAACTATTATTCGCTTTCTATAAAGCACAACTAGAACTTAACATTTGACCGTATTACCTTTGCTCCAGATGGTTAGACTGTCACTTCGGACTTCAAAACAAACATTTTAGTTCCGTTTCCAAACTGTTTTTCAAAATACAAGTCTTTTAGTATGCCTCTAAATTAAGCAAACCTGTGTCCACGTTAAGGCCTTTGTATATAAAGGTAATTTTTCAGTCTTATGTCTTTCATTTAAGCGCATGTTTGGCGATTCTCACGTGGATTTGATCTACAAAAGGCTTTTACACAAACTCGAGTCCTTGCCCACTCGAGTGTACGCTGTCATTAGAAATAACGGGGTCATACCAAATAATAAGACATTCTAAAATTCTTGTTTCAAATAATTTTTACGCTGATAGTATACATTGTAGTGAGAAAACGTCTGAATTAAATTTAATACATATATATTGTATAAATACATAGTATAAAATATGTTTGTTCTCTCGTTAGGGTAACTTTAGAAGCTGTAGGCCAAATCAGACATCCTCATGGTCACTAGGAGTTGAGAGGTTTTGGCCATTTGTTTTATTACAAGCACTTACTTTGTGTCACTGACTTTTTGTCACTAGCATCTACCTTATAGGTACACTCTACAGATATACAGTTACAGACTGTAGCCCATTTGTTGACAAGCACAACTTGTCTGCTTTGTTCACCGCTCACTGTCACCAGCCATCATGCTGCAGAGGCTAGAGTATCGCTTACATAAATTGTGTATGTTAAAAATTGGGATACAGTCTCTAACTGTACATCAGCAAGCTGGACTGGACATAAGCGTTTTATAAAGTGATTCTTTTTTCATTTCCTTCATCACTAACACTAGCTGCTTGATGTCAACCCATGCATATATACTGGTGTATATTCTTCTATTTTGATCAGATCATCAGACTACATTTAATATTAGACGAAGATAACCCAAGCAAACACAAAATGTTGTTTCTAAATAAAAAGCCATTGCTAAGGCTCTGGGACTCCAGTGAACAACAGTGAGAGCCATTATTCACAAATGGAGAAAACAATAGCAGCAACAACAACAACAACTACTACTGTTCCTATTACTAAATATTTACTACTACTACTGATAATAATAGTAATAATAATAATAATAATAATAATATATTTTTTTAACTTGTTGTGTCAGAGTTGTGGGTGTGTGAGAGCAGGCAAAACACTAGAACTGGGTGATACCACTAATTTAATTTTCAATCTGATGCTAAGTAATACGCAGGTTAATATCACAATATTAGTACTGGAACCAGCTTCTGAAAAATCAGTTGTTCTGAGAACACCAGCAGCTTCTTTGTTTGATTTGCAATTTTTTCTTTTTTTTTTTTTCTTTTTGTCTATGTTCTTTTCTCAGTAATGGCTTCTTGAGAGCTGCACATCCTTTCAGACTTATAGTGTTGTCTTCTCACGGTGGAAGGAAGGACAGAAACACCTGTGGATTTTTTCAGATCTGAAGTAAGTGTGGAGCTTGAATTTCTCTCAAAGTTGAACACTTGAAGTATGGTTTATTTGATGGTGACAGTTTTGGAGGTCTGCTAGATCTTGCACGGTTGTTAAGAGTCCCATTTTCTCTATATCTTTTCATAGATTTTTAAAAAATTCTATTTATAGTCACTTATTTTCCTTTTACTTTCCCCATCCTTATGCAAGTGGATTATCTTCTATCTGTTGACCTCAGATATCTCCTGAAAATTAAATAAATAAAGGGGGATCCTCTGATTTTGCACAGTACTGTACATTTATAGTCAGGTGGTATACTCTTAAAAAATATTGCACACGTAAAAAAAAGAAAATCTTTATGATTTTATGAAAAAACTAAAAAAGTAACATAACCCCCCCACACCCAAAAAAACGCTCAGGATGCCTCCTCTCTACTCATTTAAATCTGTTAAAAACATGTTTATTTTCACTATGCTATCAATGTTCCCCTTGTCTTGGAATGTTTACATGTGTCTGACAGTAATGTTTTTTTGTTGTGAATTGCGACCCACAGTTTAATGTGTTCTTATTCTACAACTGTAAAGTATCCTTGAGCATAGAAAGGCACCATATAATTAAAGGAATGATGATGATGAAGAAGTTGATGAAAATGAAATTTGAAAGATTTTGTATCAGTATCCAACTGCAATTGATTACTTAAATAACTCCAAATGATATACCATTATAGAGCGCTCACTGTTTCTCATGTGGCCATCAGTGCATGTGTGAAGCAGAGGGAGAGGGCAGAAAGAAAAGTAGTTCCTGTCCTATAAATTTATTTGCTACAATGTTTTTTTATTTTTCACTATCATCTTTATAGAAGACAGATATTCAGTTTACTACTTAAAAAAACACGTAATTTGATCATTTGATGTGAGGATCAAAGTATTGATGTTTCAGTATCGATCTGCAGACCCCCAGAAAACACAAACTAAAACATGGAGAACAGGAGTACTGGAGGAGCAGTGCTGGGAAACAATGTATTTAAATGTAATCGGGCCAATCTAAATTAAGAGTGTCTGTGAGCCTTTTGCAGCTGCTGTTTGTTCAGAAATTAAGTAGAGATCATCGCAGTGTCAGAGAGGAGCTTTTTTCAGTCAGCTGAAATTATCCCACAACTATGTGCATACATAGACTATGCAAAAGTCAGAGACTACCCTTCATTTATTTAATTTCCAGCGAAAACAGCCATTAAGTAAAACGTATTCATTTTTCAGCATTTACATAGAAGCCTCATCAACTAAATCTAATTTTTTATCGGTATTTAGTATAGCCTTTATTACAGCTTCCATTCTTTTCAGAACACTTGCTTTCAGTTTTTCAAAGAAATCTGCAGGGATGTTTTTCCACACCTCCAAAGTTCAGTCTTAGAAGTTGGTTTGCATTTTCTGCTTCTGACAATCCATGAAATTCCAAACAGCAATGTTGAGGTATGGTGTGGTCAGTCTTTTATTCAGAGAACTCCAGCAACTTCTTTGTTTAATTTGCAAATGTTATTTTTTTGTCTATTTTCTTTTCTCAGTAACAGCTTCTTTACAGCTAAACATCCTTTAAGAGCCATAGCATTGAGTTGTCTTCTCACAGTGGGAGAACAGAAACACTTGTGGATTTTTTGGTGTTTGGGTGTTATATCAGATCTTGTCTGGTTATAAGAAGTTCCATTTTTTCTGTATCTTTTAAAAAATTTGAATCCAGTTTTGGAAACTGATTTTTTCACTTATTTTCCTTTATGCAAGTGACTTTTGCACATTACTGTACATACAAACTCACACAAACAGCTGCCCTCATACAGCCATACAGTTTTATAGTGAAGAGGTGACAGTGGAAAGTGAAATTTACGTCAGTTAATGTGTATGAAAATGTTTGTGTGCGTACAAAACAGTCAAAAACACTATTTATTACTATTGCAGTATTTACTGTACGGCACATACAATGAAACTTTATTCACAAGACTGCAGCATTTCATTTACTGAGAGAGCAAAAATAGCTTCTGGTCGAATTCTGGCTTCTATTTACAATCATCAGAAACAAAGAAAAACAAAAGTGTAATAGTCGACTCAGTCAGACCACAAGTGCAGTAACATGTCAGCAGAGAAAGAAACTAACCAAACATACATAGTGCACCCCTTTCATCATTGCATGATACATGATACAGCACATGACACACTTCTCCGTTATCAGATCATAAGACCAATTAGGATGAGAAATAACAAGCGTGGTCTACTATTGGCTTAGATTTTGCTATTTGATCTGTGCATGCTGAATTTCAGGAGAACTGTTCAACGTTAAAAATGATGAAACAAATGTTTACAATGGTGATTTGATGAAGCATATCCTTGGCTTGGTGAAAGTTATATCCTTGGCCTAATGGTTTTTTTATGGTTATGTGTGTGTGTGTGTGTGTGTGTCCTAACTTGTTTCTTCAAATGTAAAGAAAGATTTTAGTTAGATCACAACGATGTCATAACACTCAGATTTGCAGCTCTTTGGACAGTCCCTTTGGGGCAATCACTAAAATGTGATATTATTATGCTGTGATCTTGTTTCAGGCTCTCTCTAAAACTGGATTCACACCAGCAGACTTTCCAAACAACAGAGAGGCAGATTGCAAATCTCAAAAAAGGTAAAGCACTGAGTTTACTTGATCCAAAAGGATTGAAATGTCCACATTTTCACATTAATAAATATAAATAATAATAAATAAATATAAATATTGCATCAACACAATTATTGCCAGAAGTGTTGATCTAATATAGTTTATTCCTCTGGAAACATGTACATTATTTGAACCAAGTATTCACTGCATCACTTTTTTTATAAGTGTATTAACTATGCTAATGACTTCTTTTTCTCTTGGGCAGCTACTTACTGCTGCTTAAACTAGCTACTTTATTCAGAAGCAGCGTCCGTTTGTAATATCTGTTTGTATTATAGATAAGGTAAGGGAATTCTTTAATGAGATTAAATTCAGATTAGATTATATTCACAGTTGTTTTTGGAATAACCTTCCCTTCTCAGTGATGGAATGCAAGCTTGCACTTAAAAGGACCTCTCAAGAAATTACATATTACAATGATCAAACAAAGGCAAAATGGATTATGCATTGTAATCGTTTGGCAAAGGATGAAATGCACATTCATGTGCGCATAAAGACCTAAAACAATATGATTAATATAGCCCAAACATTTAACAGAGAGAAATCTAATCTTCTTACAGCAGTAGAACAGTGTCTGCACTTACAGGGTCAGAACACATCGAAGAAGAGAGAAAGAGCTTAGAGAGAGAGCTTTAACTTTATATACAACATCTAGAGACGGAGAGAGAGAGAGAGAGAGAGAGAGAGAGAGAGAGAGAGAAAGAGGGAGGTGTTGAGGCTGGGTGAAAAGCAGGGCATGAAAGAAGAATGTATATGATAAGGATAAGGGGATGCAGAGAGAAAGAAGTAAAGAGAGAGAGGGGTAAAGTTTTATTTTCATCCTGCTCCTCCATTTATCACTGAGGGAGGGCTTTGAGGATCGCGTTCACCTCCTCTGCTACTGCAGTCAATGCAAACTCAAACTGCTCCTAAAACACAAACAAAAAACAGTGGTTAGAGTGAAGAAT